CCCTGCCTAAGGATGCTGTTTAATGCTGACGGTGTCATGACTGTTAGTCTAACTTGCAGAATGTGTACATAATGAAGGGGAACTTTACTTTCTTTGAAAGTATCTACTTTAGCCACATGTGATAAACATTTGTAAGTTCATATCCAACCAGAAAACTACATGGAAAGGATACATTTTCAGCTGACTAACCATCTTCTTCTTCTTCTTTTTTTTTTTAAATAACCTCTTCTGAAACCTCATTGGCTCCTAGACAGTTTTCTCTTTTAGTAATAAAATAAATGTTAATTACTTGGATCTTTCTATTGCTATTTTAATAGGTTTCACCAATCCCTGAAAGTGTAAAAGGACAGTTGTATCAGTGGCCTGAATGTGTGGGGCACATGTCATTGATGGGGGTCAGTAGTGGTGCTCAGAAGGGACCCCCAGAGGACAGAATAGACCTGTATGGTCCTCTTAGTGCCCAAGCCAGAGAGGTGTCTTGAGATCCTAACCGATCTGGGAAGTAGCACAGATGGGGAGATTTGGTGGATAGGAGCTGTTGGTAAAGCATTTCTGTTTCCTTTTACAAGATGCAGTTTCCCAAACAGGTATCTCAAGAAGTGCAGGCTCCAATGTATTTTTCCAGCAACGTGGTTAACATCATTGAACTTTTTGGTGATGCCACAGTCTTGAAGCCATCTCTCAACTTCACAGCCACTGTGAGTTGGCATATTTATTAATGGTCTAAAGCAGTAAGTTCAGTTTAGTGAAACAGAATGGGAGATAGTACTGTCAGTACTTTTAAAAACTTGAAGTAGATAACTTTCCCTCTTCAGTTATGGGAGGTATGTGGAATTGTTTCCGAATGACCTTTATCTACTTTATCCCAAAAAGTAGTTTCCAAAAAAATTCTCCTCAAAGTATATTTAACAAGCTGTTTAAGTTAGCCTTGGATTGCAATGTTGAAGTTTTGTAAATTAACTGAAGGAATTCGATGCTAGTCAAAAAAATTCCATTCCAACTTGATTTTTATAATAACTAATTTTACTTCTAGCAGAGGTGTGGCATTAAAAATTATCAGCACATCTACTCACTTCTTGAAGAGAATATTGAATTACCACTTATTACCTGAGTGAATTCTGACCCTGAGCAGAGTGCTGCTGGGCGGGGCTCTGAGACCTAAGAGAGACCCAGTCCCTCCCCTGGAGTCACAGTGTTTGTGACATTGATGGGAAAATAGACACAAAACTGTGATTCAGGGCAGGAAAAGATCCACGTCATGAGTACATTTCTATAGGGATTTAAAACAGGTGTTGGCAAACTTTTTCTGCAATGGGCTAGATATAAATATTTTTAGCTTTGTGGGCCGTTGGTCTAAGTCACCACTGTGCAGCTCTGAGGTAGGGTGAAGCAGCTCCTGCAGCTTGGTAGCCAAGTCAGGGTGACTGCTTCTCAACAAACCTTCTTTACAGAGAGACTGGATTTGGCCTCCTTGCCTGGCATAGCTTGCTGACCCCTGGTTTAAAGCAAGGAGGGATCACTTCTTATTGAATAGTTGGAGAGAAAGTGTATAGTTTCCGTGTCGGTGTATCTGTGGAGATTTGGGGACGGGGATGCACTCAGAGAGGGCATGCAAGCTGTGTTCCCCTTTCCCCATACCTTGTTTGCCCTAAGCTTCTCTTCTTTTTGGCTCAATATCCTTTTATAATACACCAGTGATCTAGTGAGGGAAAAAATGTTTTAGAGAGCTCCTAATTTTAATAATCTTATAATTTAGACAGTTGGGAAAAGTAAGTTTAAAAAAAAGCCAAAAACAACTTGAGGTTGCAAATGGTAATTTCCAAATGAATAGAGGGAAATAATGAGAGTTCAGAGAGGGAGGGCTGGCTTTGGGATAGGGGTGGGGTCATTCAGGGAGGCTTTCTGGAAGGGGAAGGTTTAGGCTATTTGTGAAAAGATCAGTCGTGTTTTCAGTGTTGAGATGTGTGAGTTGGAGGTGGGGAACCAGATGAGCTGAGACAGAGGTGAGCACTTTGATTGGCAAGTTCAGGGTACATTCAGGTGGCAGCAACTGGGCCAGGGCAGTGGCAGCAGAGAGCTCCTATTCCCTGTCCAGGAGTGGTCAGAGGGAAGACAGGAGGTGGAGCTTGGGGAGTTTGCCGAGGGTCCCCAGGGTCTCACCTGTTGTTTAACTTTATGCTGTTGGCAGTGAGGAGTCTAGAGCCTTAATGAACATGGGAGGGGTGGGGCAAAAGCAGTGCCATGGGGGGACTAGGGGATCTGTGTCCTGTTGGATGGCAGCAGCCTGGGCCAAGGCAGGGAGGAGCCTCCTGGAGGGGGAAGTGGGCGGAGATGTCAGAAGTACTTTTCCTCTTCCTGGGGTCCTCTGGTTCTGCTCCTGCAAGCTTCTTGCTTGCTTTTATTGTCTCTCCAGAGTTGGCTCTCCAGGAGGGAGTCAGGGGCCTATTATAATAGACCATTTGGGGTTCTTGTTAAATTTGTATGTGCTGCCCAGGGACTCTTGAGTACCTTGGAATAATTTAAGTGTCCTTGATCTTCCAGGACAAAGTGTCAGAGCTGGGGCTTCCCCTGCTGTCGCTTTGGCGGTGCCTGTTTACTGAGCCAGTGAGGAAAGGAGGACTTGATTCTGCAGGAGATGCTTCTTCCTTGATAGTCCTGTCACTTCACTCCTGAGTGTCAGCAGAGGCCCTCGGGCACCTGCAGGTGTTCTGTGGCAGAGCTGGAGTTCCAGAGCTGAAACCTTCCCCTCCAGCACCCCTGGCGCTGGCTCCCTTGTCTACAGTTGGGCTAACTGCATTTGCTGGCTTGTTGAGATATTATGCACTTTTCTGTTTTCTGTTGTTTTCTTGTTGGTGCCTGTTCTGGCACCGTGTTTGCTTACCATAGATGTAGGTAGGAGTGGTTATTTTTAGCATAGCAGAACCAGTGGTTTGGCTGCTTAATTTTCAACTTGGTGTGTTTTTTAAACTTTGAATCCTTCATGATTTTTCTTGCAGTTTTCTCTTGATTTGTCTGTGTTAATGCTAATGAAATAAGGGAAACATCAAAATAGTTACCCCAAAGGGTACAATATCTTGAACATTTTTACCATAGCAAAATATATATGATATAAAATTTTCCATTTTAACCATTTTAAAAAATATAATTCAGTGGCATTAATGACCATTCATAATGTACAACCGTCATGGCTATCTTATTTCCAGAACTTTTCATCACTCTAGACAGAGACTCTGTGACCAGGAAGCACTAACTCCGAATTTCCCCCCTTCCCTTAGCAACCCTGGTAACCTCTAATCTACATCTGCCTATTCTAGAAAACTCCTATAAGTAGAATCATAAAGTATTTGTCCTTTTGTGACTGCCTTGTTTCAGCTAGTATAATATTTTCAAGATTCATCTGTGTAGTAGCACATTTCAGAACCTCGTTTCTTTTTATGGTTGAATAATATTCCATTGTGTAAATGTGCCACATTTTGTTTGTTTATTCTTCTGGTGACGGACGCCTAGGTTGTTGCTGTCCTTTGCTTTTGTGACTAATGCTGCGGGGCACGTTGATGTACAAATACCTCCTTGAGGTTTCAGTTCCTTTGGAGTGGAATTGCTGAGTCATATTCTAATTCTGTGTTTGGGCCAACTTTATTCATTCTTTTAGCCTGTTTTGCTCACTCTTGCTAGCAATGAGCACTGTTTTTATAAACAGTGTTGTTGCTGGTGAGGGTGTGGAGAAAAGGGAACCCTCCTACACTGTTGGTAGGATTGTAGTTTGGTGCAGCCAATGTAGAAAACAGTATCAAAATTCCTTAAAAAAAACTGAAAATAGACTTACCCAAAGATCCAGCAGGCCCACTCCTGGGCATATACCCAGAGGAAACTCTGGTTCGAAAAGTACATACAGCTGTGTTCATAGCAGCACTATTTACTATAGCCAAGATATGGAAACAACCTAACTGTCCATTGACAGAAGACTGGATAAAGAGGCTGCAGGGTGTGTGTGTGTGTGTGTTTATAGTGGAATACATTAAAAAAGGATAAAATAATGCTGTTTGCAGCAACAGGAATGCACCTGGAGATCATTCTATTAGAGAAAGAATGGAATTGTCATTAAATGAATAATTTCTGTTTTTATATCACTTTTGTTGACTTTGAAATGGCTTTTTCTGCTTGTGAGAATGTGAGAGTATGTGTGTCTGCGTCTTTGTCTGGATATGAGAGAATGTATGCTCATGTGTGTGCCTAAATTCTGAAAACTGAGCAATAGTAAAAAAAAAAGGGGGGGGGAGTATCTTCATATTTTGCACAAAAACAAATGATCAAGAGTGAGTTCGGAGTATGGGTGACTGATAATTTAGAGAACATTTAAACTCATATTTTAAAAGGAAATTAAAATTACTCTTCCTAGGAGTGTGGCCCTGGGTATTGAAAGACACAAACCTTGTGAAGGGTGACATTAATGGTGTTTATAAGTAAAACCTGGCAATGTGACTTAAAGTATTTAGGTCTTTCATCTCAGGTATTTAAAGTTACTTATATGGGTATGAGTACTTTCTGGTTGAACATGGATGTTGTAGTTTTCACTTTCTGTTCTTTGATCCTACAATGTGTGGAGTTTACTGTACTTGGAATTACATCCGGGCCATGACGTGGAGTGTTTTTGGCTCCTGTCTAGATCTTTGTAATGAATGCTTTCCATGTGCTCTCTGTTATTTCTTGACGTGGTTGTATTTTTGGACCTATTGGAAGATCGTTTGCCTCCAGTTTGTATTACAAACTGTGCTGTTATTTTGGAATTAGACACAACACACACTGA